GCTCCGGTCGGTTAAATTAGTAGTAGTGGTAGTAGCATTAGTAGCAGTATTGTCATAATTCCAGAAGACGGTACAGGTGGAGGATAGTCATTTATTGATGATTTCAGATGGGATATCACCAATTCGGCATACATTACGCAAAAATCTAATCTGTATAATATACCATCGCAGTTCTTGTCCACACGACGGGTAATGAATGTAGAAATCGATAGTTCTTTGAGACTCAGTAAATTGCCCTCAGTGATCTTGTTGATTTTTGGTCGTTGAAAATAGTCACCATCTGTTACCTGCTACTTACAAATGAGTAGTATCTCACGACAGTAGTAGCATGTTTTGGTGAACCAAATACTACCGCATGCCACTGACGAAGGGATTTAGGAGTTATGATACAGGAGGACGTAGTACATTCCACGCATTATGTCGAAGCATCGTTCATGGCTCTAAAGCAAGTTGGACTACTTAAGCTTGCTTTAGGGCAGTTCCCATGCTTGCTATCAGCGTTCGTTCGGCCTCACACGGAATACGTCGTTCAAGTATGGAATCCATGACTGAACCGCGACAAGAAGACTCTAGAACCTCCGCAAACGTTATTGACGAAATTGTCAAAAGGTCTGCATAACAAGTCATACTCCGAAAGACTGCAAACATTGGGGATTTACTCATCTCAGTGCCGTCAACTTCGGGGAAACTTGACGTACTACACAGTGCATCAACCCAACCACCCTTGCCGTTTTATGTTCACTTTATCTGAAAATAATCCTCTCAGGAAACATCCAGTAAAGTTGAAGATCCAGAACAGCCACCTTGGTTGCCGGAATCACTCGTTTACAGTCAGAGTGTGCGGTGTATGGAATTTTCGTGCATCCCATGTAGTGTATACTCCTACAGTTGAACTATTTAAGTGGCAACTTGATAAAGCATTGAAACACTTAAAATGTTGACATCCGTGAGTGATCATACATATTATTATTATCAATATCTCTTTGCTTGACAACTTGCTCCACCTTCCCGGTCAATCGTATCGCAGCCCAGCGGTGAAATCGAACGGTGAAGAAACACCAGTGACCGCATAGTTAAATCAGCATCTTCACGTGCTGCACTCAAACTTATTAATCACTGAGAGCTCTGAAAAGCGAATGGTTCTCTGAGCAAATTCGATTGATACTCACTCACTAGGGAACAACCTTGAAGCCGGTTGCAATTGTTTAGTCCCAGTAAGAAGTTGTCAGCAGTGCAGTGTAGTCATTGAAACCGGGCGCAAAGAAAGGACTGTTACATGGACAGGCTAAGTGGGTATTATCTCGATGAATGGTTGCCTCTCAACTAGAGAAACTGTCATTTAGACGAAAAGTTAAAATCTCGTACTCTCCCCCCCCCGCCGCTCGGTTTCTCGATCGCACTGTTTCATACCATCCACATTAGATTTGGTTTATGCAATACCCAGTGCGTACCATTCTAGTGACAAGTTAATTTTTTCCACTACCAAATAAACGATCTGATTTCAGCAATTATTTCTTGTCCACCTCCTCATCCACCCGGTCAATGCAAGAATACCAGCATCCAATTGCCTCATTTCGTTACATCCTTGCAAGGCAGTAAAGGGTTAATATTCGTCCCATTCGTTGGAGTACTACGGACATCATGACATGCACCATCTAGTCTACCTGACTAACTGGAATTGCGTTTTTTCGCTCGATCTGCTTGTTAACCGCAAACCAAACAATTTCCGCCAAAATTTTGTGTAATTTGTGGATGTTATTTTTTTGCAGTAATACTTTTTCTGACAATCGGATGGACTGCGGTCTGTTTCGTTCAGTTCGACGAGTTTAGCAGCGAATGATTAGTAGTTAAGGCATAACTGGTTGTGGTTGCCAGACCACTGATGAAAAACAGCAGTTACCAAAGCTCAACCCAATAACCCCAAACCCATCATTTCAATAAACTTCAGTATTCGAATGATCCATGTAATGAAAATTGCACCGCTCGGAGTACACCGTAAGCACTGAACTCGTCTCTGGTTGTATTTACAGTGGTAACCTTTGGTGACTGAGCTATCGTCAATGTCCGAGCCACTATGACCAGTTGTGCCCTAGCTGTAATGCGCACGAAACAGTGCACCACCATCCTTCGTGCTTGTCCAGTCAGATCCAGCTTAGTTGTCACGCCCAAATCGCACGGCCTCATCGACTCACCAAATCGACATCCATCAGCGAGCTCGACAAAATTCACGACCGCGTAGAAAATCAATTGACATGAGTACGGTGTGTTGAACGGGATCGGATCTAACCACGGCATTTCTTTCGCAATTCAAAGTGATGTTTTCTAAATTCAACGGGACGGTTTCGTATATCAATCTTAAAATGGTCCTAACAAACACACGTGATTCGAAGGCTAAGGTAGCCAGTTCTCATAACTCCTCCTGACTGTGAGCTTTGTCTTTCCGCTCCCCTTGGACATGTGACACGGTACCCGTACCGCCAGTAGCTCGGCGAAATCATTCCTTCATAAGAATGTCACGAGCACAGTTAATGAAAATCACATAGGTAGGAAATCTGACGTGAACCGTAACTATAGTAACAAATGAGAATGATCCATACAATCATATATGTGAAAAATAGGAAATACAAATGAATAGTTCTAAACCCACGGTCCCCCGCTGGAAAGTACCTTCGATTCGGACCAGACAGCTGGTCTGTACCCGTCCGGCCACATTTTCCGCGACCAACGTGTACAGTCCGGCATCCTGATAGATGCAGCGTTCGACCGATAACGACGCGTTTGTGGTCTGCCACATGGATTTGCTCCCCCGACTGCCGGATTTCGGAGTCATGGGACTGGTTCCGATTTTGGTTCGATGTGATTCGACCACACGTTTGGAATCTCGTGTCCAGACCAAGGTGGCTTCGGGGACCGCATCGACCCAACAAGGTAGAACAAATTCGGAATGCAGTCGGATGGTTAGCACGGGAACCGGGACTTCCAGGAACACCGGAGAGTCTAGAATCACAGGGGAAGAACAAAGTTGAGAACAAATCATTCGCATTCATATTCTGAAGCATTAAGTGGATTCTGACAAAGTGTGAGGTTTTACAGATAAAGGCACCCCGAAGCGGGGTGCCACGTGTTCAGTTCCAGTGTGAAAATTTAGAACCGATGGAGACTGTTTTCTTGGGAATTGAATGTTTAAATGCCTATGTGATGAAATCATAATGATTAAAATAAACTTTACATCACTTATTGACTATGACAGTACCTTTTTGTTTCAATTTTTGTTTTGATTCTGTAAATGACCCATGGATTCCACTATTGTTTCACAATCCGATCTCGTTAGAAATCAATGGGATAAGTTTGATTAACTTGTGAGTGACAATCCATCTGATCTTCAGGCCCCTTGTCTAGTTCATTCAGTGAACTACACAGCCGGGGCGAGTCAGCCTCGAGTTCAGAGTCCCGAATACCTGGAATCAGTCTAAGGGAAGCTTACCGATGAGGTTATCCCTGGAAATGTTCAACTCTTACCATTTTCCTTTATGTTCAGGGCGAATTTGTTTGAACTGCTAGAATCAAGTAGATGCTCAGTGCAGTGAGACAAATTCAGAATTGCGTGATCAAAAGCCATTCACACGAATCGCCGTCGTTTGTTTTCAACATTACTCGTACAAAATCGAAGTTAGATTCAAATTTGATTTTTTATTACATGGGTAAATTACAAATCTGATGCTTATTGAATCCCACAGGATCCATACAAACTGGGTAGCAAATTATGACGAAAAGTTTGGTGTTTCAATGTGTCATTCAGTTGTGATTCGAATGAATCGATGCTTGGTGCACAAACAACTTGAGGTGAAAGAGAGTTCCAGGTGTTACAAACACTAAGGCTGAAAGAATGACGCCTACTCTTTTGGAGCAAAATTTTAAACGGATGTTCTCGGAGGTGACCATTCCTGGATAGTGTTAGTATAGTACTACTCTAGTGGTTAGGTTGATGTAGTATTTGATATACGATAATCATGTCTCCCCATATTCAACGGTATTCAGACGAATAGAGTCCAACATTTGTAACCTTTCACTGTAGGTTTCAGACTGTAACCCTTTGACCATTTCGGTTGCTGTTCTCTACGGACGTTCGGATGCCTTTTGGCAGTGAATTAGTCCTGGATTCCAAGCCTGTACAGCATACTCGGTATGTGGGCTAATGTATGCTGATAGTAAGTGGGGCAATAGGTCTGTTTCGAATGATCCAAAAACACGTTTTGGCAATCCAACGTGTTTTATGGCCTTTGATGACGCTCTCGTGCAATATGTGGAACGTCCTAGATCCTCATGAACGATAACTTCCAGGTCCTTTTCGTTTAAAGAACACGGCAATGGCTGAGTTACAAATAAGTATGGAAAGCGACCCCTGTGGCGCAGTGACACAACCTTGCATTTTCTCAACGATGAATTCAATGTTATTAGTGATTTTCGTCTTGTCGAACATCTTTTGATATAAATAGGCAATTATTTCACATGTGTAGTTTAACAAGGATGTCAGAGTCTGTGGGTGAATGTTATCTTCCCGAGGAGATGAATTCCGGCGCAGTGCCAATAGGTTGTTTTTTACCGTTTCAAATTTGAACGTGACGGTTGTCGTTTCGTCGTTCATTGATTGTATAATGAATACGAGATTTGTTCAATTTTTGTCTGTTAGCCAAATTCAATTCCTATGTTTGAACCGTGAAAAGTTCAAATAGCCTCAGTGGGATTCAAACCCACACAAAAGTGTAGGCGTAGTGGGTCGCAGTCACACAGAGGCTGTTAAACTTTTCAAAATTCAAACATACGAGATTTATTGAATAAATTTCCTTTCAGAGAAAATCTAAACTATCGTTTGTCCGTTACTTGGTCCGATTCACGCCCGACCGGAAAATTCCCCTGACAAATCCCACTGGGTTCTGAAATACTCGTTCACAGTTCCAGGTGAATGATTTATAAACCATCAGGTAATCTTGTGATTAAAACCACAATATATGTTGCCAATCGATACGCAACTGAAAATAATCACTGCCAAGTCGTCTCCCTGGTTGGTTGTGGTGTGAAAATGATGTCCTTCAAAAAGAGTGTGTTTGTGCATAGATAGACAGGCAGTCTAGCGGAATACAGAGCGATCAATTTGGATCGGTACGCCATCAATCGAACAGCCACTTCAACTTCTTATTTTCACCCTCCCACCGAAACTGATGCTGAGGCTTACAATGTGAAACTACACACGATCGAAAAGATGGAATTATGAAACGCAAAGAAGCAAGTCGTAAAACACCTATCCACCTATTGTTGTTAGTGGTGATGGTGACGATGGTTTCTAATCAAACGGCATCTCTCTCTGATATGCGAATTAAGGGTTCGAGCTCTTGCACCGCGATGCAACTTTGGCCGTGATCAACAGGCTCACGATCAGTCGACTCAATACTAGACCTAAACCATCGGGATTTTATGTGCTTTAAGAGATCAGATTCCGAGGCTCAGGTGTTCAGTTAGTGGGTCATGAACAGGGGCCCCTGGCAACCGCATAGTGCATTCCCCCCTCCCTGGGCCTCGACAAAGATCAGAAAAAGTGACAACAACAACAACACTTTGTTTAGTGTGAAATAAATGTGTAAAACCAAGCTGGGAGAAACTCTGAACCAGATAATTTCAGGTGAATTTCAAACATTCGAAAAACAAACAGGAGGGATGAAAACTGTTGTAGCCCACAGTTGAGACTGATACGTTGACCGCACGTACCAATGGTCTGATTGACTCACTGATTGATTGATTGATCGATAGATTCGCCAATGATGCTTGCTGCCCCACACGCACATACACCTCATGCGGACTTAGTCTACGATAATAACAATTCGCTCTAACCAATCAAATGTTAGTATTAAATTGTTAGTTACGGTGGATTACTTTTCCTACTTAGGTAGTTGTGTAACCAATAACGATAGCGCATCAAAAAGATAACCACCTGCATTTTCAAGGCTCGAGTAGCATACGCAGGACTGAAACACTTTTGGTGTAGACGCTACGTTTCACTGAAGTTGAAAGGTCGTGTATATTTTGCTAGCGTTTATTCAGATCTACTTTGTGGTTGTGAGGCCTTGAATTTGTGAGCAAAATATATTCGTCTACCAGGAGTTTTCGATTATTGGTGTTTACGTAGTTTAGCCCATGTTGGGTGGAACGAAGGGGTAAGTAATCTGGAAGTAAGTCGTCTAGAGTCTGAGAGTTTATCTGGGATAAATCTGCTAGCACACCGAATTCATATTAGTAGGCTTCGCTGGCTAGGGCCNTGACTTATTTGATTTGTGAATGAACCAGACATTGGGTCTGTTCTGCTGTGTGTGTGTTCTGTTGATTCTTCACGTTTTATTTACGACCAAATTCTCTGTGATTAGTGAGAAATTGTACTGAACACCTGTTTTTTTTTCGTGTTGGGACTCATCAGCCGTGCACACTTATTTCGTGTGCTTGCTGCAGATTTAACCGCCAAGCGTCCGGCTAAGTGTTGAAACCGTTGAAAGCTTGAGTTTCAAACAGCATGATGATCAACCCCTGTCGGCGAAAAGGCATATCGATTTACACTGCCATGCGGATCAACTCATTTCATCTGCCGGTCATCACAAAGAACTCCAGCGCCGGCTAGGGTATTATTGCGTATGCCCAGCCATCTTCCTCCGCACCTCGCTTTATTTGCTGTAGCCGCTGCAGGCTGGAGGAAACCACGTGGAGACGAGGCATGAAGAAATGCACAGAACCATTAGGTAAAGTAGGTGTCTCTCGCCTTCGAGGTTGGGGGCCGAAAGACTCCATAACCGGTTGGTTGGAGACATTGATGGATAGGACAGCGAACCGGCAGCAGTGGCGTCCTTAATGTCGTTTCTTGTCAGGTCAGTATACTTGAAGCGGTCTGTATGCAGAGTCTGATTGTGTACCCTCTCTGTGTTGACCATGGAGGTTCGCCTTCTTCCCCTCCCTGAAAATAAGTCCAATCCCTGTCCACCTTAAATGTTACCACTAAACTTGTATGCTTTGCGAGTTTGGCAGTGAGCAGTGAAGTTCACCTTACTGTATTTTGCTGTACAACGATGATGATGATGATGACTCCGGCATGCATAATGTATTATTATTGGAATAACAAAAGGGGTTTTCACAACAAGGGGGTTCAGGAACAGGAGATAAAAGTGTGTCAAAAGATGTACTGTCAAGTATTTCTATGAAAACAGAAATCATTAGTGTAGCACACTGCTGTCGGTCCACTTGACGAGATAAATTGTAGGCAGACCCATTGGGGTACAGTTTAGGGTCAACCATTTGTAGTAATATACAAATTAATGAGTGATCTTTTGTATTTCATGGTTTAAAGAATAAAGTGTGGGCACGAAGAACCCCAAAACATACCTTATAGAAGATCTAATTAATAGAAATCAACTTCAGAACGAGCACACTTGAACATACCCATTATCAAAGGCCACCCAGCTCCCCGCGCAAGTTGAATGTCACTGACTTTGAAATCATGGACACCAACACATCACAATGTACGGAAAAGATGCACTTTTCGAGGGCATACCACAAATCATGCTGTCGTGACATTCTGACGTTCATCTCTAGCATGCTCGAGCGACGGTAGGTTACGGTTCCGGGTCAGACCGAAATATTTTTCGAATGAAAGTCTATTATTTCGATACAGGCTTATTATCAGATAAGCCGAGGGTGAGAGGGTGGTGGAGTTATCAAGAATGAATGTACCGATTACCGCCCTGCCCTGTCACCTGTCCCGCGAAGAGGGGAAAAATAATGTCATTACATTTGGCCGGAAGTCAGTCGGCCAGTTTGTCGTCATGCCCCACCTTCTTTTCACGAACGTGTTATCCCATGGCCATAGTTGATCGGTACAATGTTTTACCCTCCATGAAGCACGTAAAACCGATTATTTCTCCGGGCGAATGCTGCAGTTCCCATTGTGCGAACGCTCTATACTTCATCGCTTATCAGTTCAACACCATACTGTGGATCGCT